AAAATTTTCAGATTCGCACTTGCCCCCGTTTATAAGTTACGATTTTTTTACGGGGAGCGCGTCTTTGGCTGGAAACTTTTATTGTTAGACTCGTGCTTTAACAGTAAGCAAAATCACAATTTCGTAGCCATTTTGTTGCCCGATATCGTCGTAAGTGGCTTTTCCTGTGAGACTTAAAAGTTAGAATGCAGATTTGAAATTCTTATCCTCAAAGATTCCTGCAGCTGGTGGTTTGCACGAACGCAGAGCAAATGTTTGCGAAATGTCGCGAAAAATTCACTTCTTCGACCGCCTAAAGGCCCGAAGAATCTGCAATATAATCGACAAGAGAAAGTGTTTTGTGTAGAAATTCGCCCAAACGCGAAATTTTTCATTCCTAATGGACCAAAGTATCGTTTTTCCAGTGACAACCCGCACTGTTGCGTCTATAAAAATTCGGGGGTGCATAAGTTTGCCACAAATTGACAAAATGTGCGATTGAATTGAAATTGCAGGCATTTGTAGAAAAGTACACGCCATTGGAACAGCCGTCTTTCGAAAGGGGTGGATTTTTGAGACACCGATATTTATTCGAAAGCGTTCCGCTATTGAGAGCTCCACACGGTTTTTCGAGTAGAAATTCGCACAAAATCAGCGGAAATTCGAATCAGCTTGAAAACTTCAGTGCTCATAGACAAAAGCATCCACTTCCCAGCCCAATTTCAACGGTTTTTTAAAAACATTTTGCAAGTCCAGTACATTTTCGTGCGGTTGAACATTGAAAAATGATTCTTCAACGCGTGATGTTAGTTGTTACCTGCAAATGGGCCGACCATCAGCTTTCAACAGTTGGCAGACTCCATTGTTTCGGCAATAGTTCTTACAGGGATGATCGTTTCCAATGTAAATCTGGCATTTTTCGCCGCCCCATTGATGCGTGCAATTGCAAATCGACCATTCCCGGACTTGAACGCAAACGCCGCCGTTTTGGCAATCCGCATTTTGCTGGCAAACTTCCGTCGACCCCAAAACAGGTTTCTCGCAGATCGGACCTATAAAAACAATTTTTTATTCGCATGAATCAAAAAGTGCCATTTTGCGAACAGAAGCGAT